TAATATGGACAAAAAGAATAACTAGAAGTTTCTTGAATAGATATTTCGAACGATATCAATCGTCCATCATCAGTTTAAAAACTCTATAAGTGTTACAAGAAACATCTAGTTATTCTTTTTGTCTATAAACTCTTAGCCCAAGGAAAAATTTTCACATTTATCAATAATAATATGCCTTTATCTAATCACCCTAGCTCTATCCTCTACACAAGAGTATATAACCACGGTTGGTATTTTTCTGACCATGGTTATTTGAATCCAAAAATGATCGCAAAATAACCACGGTTGGTATTTCTCTTGCCGTGGGTTATTTGAATCCAAAAATGAGTATGAAATAACCACGGTTGGCAACTTTCTTACCGTGGTTATTTGAAGCCAAAAATGAGCATAAAATAACCACGGTTCGTAGTTTTCTTACCATGGTTATTTGAAGCCAAAAATGAGCGCAAAAAGTCACGGTTGGTATTTCTCTTACCGTGGTCAATTGAAGCCAAAAATGAGTGCAAAATAACCATAGTTAGTATTTCCCTTGCCGTGGTTATTTGAAGCCATAAATGAGCGCAATATAACCTCGGTTGGTAATTTTCTTACCGCAGTTATTTCAATCCACAAATGAGCGCAATATAACCACGGTTGGTAATTTTCTTACCGTGGCTTTTTGAAGCCAAAAGTGAGCGCAATATAACCACGGTTGGCATTTCTTTTACCGTGGTTATTTAAAGCCAAAAATGAGCGCAATATAACCACGGTTGGTATTTTTCTTACCATGGTTATTTGAAGCCAAAAATGAGCGCAATATAACCTCGGTTGTCATTTCTCTTACCGTGGTTATTTGAAGCCAAAAATGAGTGCAATGTAACCACGGTTGGAAGTTCTCTTACCGTGGTTATTTGAAGCCAAAAATGAGCGCAATATAGCCACCTTTGGTATTTCTCTTGTCGTGTTTATTTGAAGCCACAAATGAGCGCAATATAACCACGGTTGGTAATTTTCTGACCATGGTTATTTGAAGCCAAAAGTGAGCGCAATATAACCACGGTTGGTATTTCTTTTACCGTGGTTATTTGAAGCCAAAAATGAGCGCAATATAACCACGGTTGGTATTTTTCTTACCGTGGTTATTTGAAACCAAAAATGAGCGCAATATAACCACGATTGGTATTTCTCTTACCGTGGTCATTTCAAGCCAAAAATAGGTGCTAAATAACCAAGGTTGGCATTTTTCTTATCGTGTTTATTTGAAGCTCAAAATGAGTGCAATACAACCACGATTGGTATTTCTCTTACCGTGGTCATTTAAAGCCAAAAATAGGTGCTAATTAACCACGCTTGGCATTTTTCTTATCGTGGTTATTTGAAGCTCGAAATGAGCGCAATATAACAACGGTTGGTATTTCTCTTACCGTGGTCATTTGAAGCCAAAACTGAACTGAAAATAACCACGGTTGTTATTTTTCTTACCSTGGTCATTTGAAGCCTAAATTGAACCGAAAATAACCACGGTTGGTAGTTTTCTTACCGTGGTTATTTGAAGCCAAAAATGAGCGCAATATAACCTTGGTTGTCATTTCTCTTACCGTGGTTATTTGAATCAAAAAATGAGCGCAATATAACCTCGGTTGTCATTTCTCTTACCGTGGTTATTTGAAGCCAAAAATAGGCGCAATATAACCTCGGTTGTCATTTCTCTTACCATGGGTATTTGAAGACAAAAATGAGCGCAATGTAACCACGGTTGTTAGTTCTCTTACCGTGGTTATTTGAAGCCAAAAATGAGCGCAATATAGCCACCTTTGGTGTTTCTCTTGTCGTGGTTATTTGAAGCCAAAAATGAGCGCAATGTGACCACGGTTGTTAGTTCTCTTACCGTGGTTATTTGAAGCCAAAAGTGAGCGCAATATAACCATGGTTGTCATTTCTCTTACCGTGGTTATTTGAAGTCAAAAATGAGCGCAATATAACCACGGTTGGTATTTTTCTTACCGTGGTTATTTGAAGCCAAAAATGAGCGCAATATAACCACGATTGTTATTTCTCTTACGGTGGTCATTT